TAGGAAACAAAACTTCAAGACCACGGCCACACAGCCCGGAAGACCCACACCAGCCAAAGAGAGGTTAGATTAGCCTTTCTCAACCTTGTTTTCAGGCCTCAAGGAACCCCTGCATAAAAATAGCAAAAAATACAAAAACTTCACAATACAATTCATTTCTAACCTACACCATCCAGGTCAAGCAGCTGAGTTGTACATAAAAATTCTCACCACTGTGAATTCTAGTGTTGTGCAGCACACTAAGTTCAAACAGCAATGTTATGTCAGTTAGAAAGCTATGGAATGCAACGTCTAATTAAAAAAAGGTTCCTTCCTTTTTCGTATGCCAAATTGACGTTATGGGGAAACCCAACATTAAAAATTGGGAAAAAGATGGTGATATGGAAAAGATGGATGGAAGCAGGAATATTGACTCAGGACCCATTGATAGATGATGAAGATGATTTTTTAACATATGCTGTGTTAAGAGATAAATATCATCTATTAGATGTATCCAGATGGCAATATCTACAGCTACAACATTTGTTAACAACATTGTTTGGACCACCAGCATTTTCAGCTTCCGAGACAGCCGAGATACTAGAACAACTTGTTAAATCCTTTAGAACTAAAAAAAGTACTATTAGCTTTTATAGATATTTGTTATCAATAAATTTGATATGCAGATGTTAAGGGATGAATGGAAAAAAAAAATAGAGGTTTCTATGTTGCCAAGACAATGGGAGAGTGTCTTAACTTCTAGAGCAAGAGTGTCAATGGACCTTAAGCTACAACTTATACAACAAAAAATAATATTTAGAGTTTATTGGACTCCACTACATCTGTATAGAAAGGGATTGTCAAAAACAGCATTTTGTTGGAGATGGAATAAGAACAATACCTCTTTAAAGCATATGTCCTAAGTTTTGGGAGAAAGTAGTAGACTATATAAATATGATTGTGCAACAAAAGCTAAAATTTTCAGAGGATAATATTCTTTTAAACTATATACCTAGTACACAGAATTTGACATCTGGACAACATAAAAGGAGTCTCCGTGCCCTTACTATGGCCAAAAGTCTGACATTGCAGCTTTGGAAAGAATAAATATATGGCTCCATTTATTCAATGAATTGAAGACCTGATTGCACTTGCCATTTATAAGCAGATTGCCTATAAACATAGACTTTGTATGGACAAGTATAATGAAATATGGGACTCATTTATAGACAGTAAGTTAAAAAAAAATGATAGTCACATAAATGTGTTGGAAATATTTATGCATCTAAATAATATTTGCATTATATATATATATATATATTTGTAACTATTTACTGTTATAATGATATAGTATGCCAAGTTTTTATTTCCTTTGTTGTATTTTTGTCACTTTTTTGTAATAGCACTTAATGGTTTTTTGTTATTAATTTTTTATTATTAATTAAAAAGTAATTAAAAATTATAAAGAAGTCCAAACACCAATGTTTGTTTGTTTTCCAATCACAATTTCTCATGCAACCCCTTGTGATGTCTTGTGAAACCCCAGCTGAGAAAAGCAAAGGGGATGGTAAGATTTTCAGAGCATTACCTCCACAGTTTCAGCTTGCTCTTAGCTCAGTGTAAAAACAAAACAAGAATGTAACTATACTTGCAGTAAAATGAGGCTTTCATTACAGAGTGGTTCAATAGGCTGCTGTCCTTTTGATAATTGCTTTCTAGTCATCACACCATTGACCATTCACTGATAACAAGTCCCCATACCCAGACAGAGTACCTGGCATTCCTCTTTACATCTCCTCTTATTTCTTAAACTAAGCATTTCCAGCCTAATGGTTGCAGCAGGAGATAAATGAAGTCACCAGAGAAATGAAGACGACAATTTTGAATGGGACTGCCTCTAGGTATATAAAGATTAAATAGACCTGTGAGCACTTGGAAATTTAGTAGGACTACTGATTAATCCTCCTGAGTAAAAATTATTTGTGTTTTTGTATCCGTATGTTATAGGTTAGAAAATCTCCATGTTTCTTCCTGCTTTTGGTGTAGGTACATACATCTGAAAAACTTTTTTTTTTCTGTTTATAATCCTCAGCTCATTTTAAACTTCAGCTTTTCTGACACAATTCATATAGTTTCTAGTGACTGACATGTATTCTTATTTGATTAAATATCTTCTGTCAGGAACAGTCATAATAAACTCCCACAAAGGTAACCTTTTGTTTCTCTCTCCTTCACAAGATGGACAAGATACCAGTTGGTTTCTGAGTGCAATTCAAGATGCTGGTTGTGATTTATAAATGTTTTTAGATTTCAGAAGCTGGTTATTTCCAAGACCAGCTTTCTTCAATTGTGGCTGCCCACCCTATAAAGTATCAGTGGTATGATAAGATTTGTATTTCCATTCCTCTCAAGTTAAGAGATTGCAGCATCACCCTGTCCAGAACACCAGCAGGCCTTAAAAGACCTTTGAGAACACTTGCCCAATACTACTTTGGCTTTTCAATAAATTAACAAAAATCTAAGACCATGGCATTTGTCAAGAGGCCAAACCCCCTGCTCATGGGCCTTTAACAGTTGCAACATAGAACAGGTGACCTGTTTCAAATGATCTAGGAGCAGTTCAGCATGCCCGTGGCTCAAGGAAAGCTGCTGTGAATATGCCACAACATGATTCTTAAATTTCTTCACTCCAAAGGTGGATCTTATATGCTAGCCACAGTTAAGCTCTTTCAAGCTAAGACACTAGCCCAGCTTTCTTATGGGACTCTGGCTAGCCCTCGGACCTTGGTCTAGGGCAAAAATTGTATTGGGAGAAGATGAAAAATTATATTTTAAATGTAGTATCCAAACTATGGAACTGTCTTCCTTGGGAAATATACTGGCCTCCATGCAGTCCAGTTTTGTTATGTCTGTTCACTTTTGCACATGCAAGGCAAACAATGCCACAGTACCAAAATATTTATTGTATTGAGTAGTATTTTTTGAGTGAATAAAAGAGTTTTTAATTGGTCATACAGCTAAAGGCTATACTTATATTTTCCTTTTTCAGTGTATGTATATTGCTTTGAACTCCTCCGTACAGCAGAAGACTAGTTACTGTGTGGAACAACTGTTATAGCTCCTGCTTCCAGTTGATTGCAGGAAACCAGTGCTCAATTGCTCTAATGAAAAATTGCATTGAAATGTTATGCTATTATGTAAATTAGGCCTCTGCCAAAGAAATAAACAGTTAGCATTGGTGGCACTCTATTGACTACTCTGGAGAAATCCTCACCTCTCCTGGTGATGTACCGTGGCTTCAAATATTTCATCATCTTTATTGCCCTGATTCTTGTTGTCTAAATATTTGCCATCCTCTTCCATGGCATGGTGAATACAGAGTTCATTTGGAATGATGTTTCCTTTCCTTGGGACTCCCATGGAACTAAGATTGCTCTCACTGTCCTTTTGGCTCTCAATGGCTGAATCCACTTCTTCTTTCTCAGCCAAAATATCATCAATATTTGTTTCATGGTAGCATCTCAAGGGGACAGAGTCCAGATCAGTCTCTGAATACTTCACTGTTCTGCGGATTATTCCAGTTTCATAGTTTCCAAGTTTTGTACTACCTGATGGAGTCATCTCAATTTCTACCTCTACATGACACAGACTGTGTTCTGGCCTCATCTGATCTGGTTTTTGTTGCACTGAGAGGGTGGATTTCCCAAGGAGCTGAGGTGAAGGATCAAGTGCATTCTGAGATGGCATCCCTAGAATACAGAAATTCCACATTACAAACAAAATGGACTTATCAGTTCCTAAGTGATTCTGGCTCTTTATGTATGGCATTTGCCCAGTACATCTATATCATCACTACTAATCATTGTCAGCACAAAGCCTAAGTTATTAAAGTATACATGTTAAGTTTATACTTTCTTTAGAAGTGTCTATTTATAATATATTATAGGTAGCTAACAGGCAGCAGACAGCTCCCAACATGTCATTTACTTATGTATATGATTTATAGAGCCACCTGTTTCACACCAGTGACTCTGGGCATTATACAAAGATGAAAACCACTGTTAACAGTATGTAACCCATAATACCCTGGTTAAAACAACACTGATTTTAACTGAATGATTCAAATATACAGTACTGTGGCAAAGTTTTAGCAGGTGTGAAAAAATGCTGTAAAGTAAGAATGCTTTCAAAAATATATATTGTAATTGTTTATGTTTATCAATTTACAAAATAAAGTTTTAGCAGGTGTGAAAAAATGCTGTAAAGTAAGAATGCTTTCAAAAATATATATTGTAATTGTTTATGTTTATCAATTTACAAAATGCAAAGTGAGCAAACAGAAGAAAAACCCAAATCAAATCAATATGGCTTCAAACCAGCATTGGTTCTTACACTTGCATACTTTGTACACTTGCACAAAGTCAGGGATCTTGCAGGATTA